GCAGCTCACCCCCTGGCTACAGGCAGACTCCGCTGGAGGAAAATAAAAAAAAAGGATCAGGCCCCTTGCTACTTCCCCCTCCATACCCTGCCCCCCAGGGCTTCTAGCACCCCATGTAGTGTCCCCACTGCTTCCTGCCACCTGGGACCACCTGGGAATGGGCTGGCTTGCCCCTGGGGCAGTGCAGGAAGGTGGTAGGAGGGTGGCTGGGTGTGCTGGCGGCTAGAGAAGGTGGGGATGGTGCACAGGGCGCTGGAAGCCCACCAAGCCCAAGCTTTCCCGAGCCCACCTGGGTTTCCAGTGCTCTGTGCACCTTCCTGCCACCTTCTCTGGCCACCAGCACAACCAACCACTCTCCTGCTGCCTCCCTGTGCTGCCCCATGGTCAAGCTGGGTGTGCTGGCAGCCAGAGAAGGCAGCAGGGACAGTGCACGGGGCACTGGAAACCCAGACAGGCTCAGGAACGGATGCATCACTGCAATTGATTTAGCCACCTAAAATACATCAGGATGTGTTTTAGTTTGCTACATAACGAAGTTATTTACATCGCAATATGCCATCGCACGTGTAGTGTGACAAAATTGAAGTGCAATATGCCGCCGCATGTGTAACGTGTGACGCAATTAAATCGCTATAAAAGGGTAATTAAACCACTATAAAGGGCAATTTCATCATGTGTACAAGTGCCCTAAAGGGGACAGGCTGCTTCAATAATGCAAAAGAAGCAAACACCCCATCACAAAATCTCTGAGAAAAAAAAGTGAGATGGTGGGGGCTGATAACCTAATAAAGAAGGTGAAGTAAGACACTCAAAGCCATTCTCCTAACTCTTGGCAAGGCAATGCAGGTTACAGCCACAGAAGGGGCAACTTACTTCTTTTTGGGGAGGGGAAGTTATTCTTTGTGCCACTTGGTTCCACAATGCTTTAAAAATGTAGTATTTTCATTATTACTAACAGAACCAACCAAATAACCATATAAAAAACATATATATAAAGACCAATACATTAAAAATACACATTGGGGTTCAAGCTGTAATCATCTATATACAACTTTAAGTGACTTCCCTCAAAGACATTAGCCATTAGGTTTTGCTCAAAAGGAGCATAGGCCTGTATCCCCGATGTCTTTTCATGTTTGAATAGTCTTGTACCTCCACATTGGAGATGTGTCATGCTTTTCTCACGCTCATTCCTTTCAGATTGGGTTGAAAACTTCTTAGCTGCACACACTGAAACACACTGTTACATCTATTAGCCAATATTACATTCATTGCATCAAAAGAAATAATTTTTATTGCAAAGTACTTGTGCCACAGACTTTATTTTCCTTTGCTCTAATTCTTTTACTAGATTGACTGGTCAAGTATTATTCATCAACTTTTGAGTCTGAAAAGGGGTGATAGACCTTTTGTGATGACATGCAACCTCCTGACTTCTGCCTGGATTTCCTGCAAAGGGATGATCTTCCAATTCAGCATTATCCAGTTTCATATCATCTAGGACAGAGGCGACCAACCTGCAGCATGACTGCCACAAGTGGCATGGGCAGCTTCTGGGTTTGGCACGCAGCAGATCAGGGAGGGGACAAACAGCACAGTGGCAGACAGGGCAGGGAGTAGAAATCAGAGCAGCAGATGAGGCAGGGAGCAGAGAACAGAAAACAGAAAGCAGAGCAGCAGATCGGACAGGTAAATAGATAAACTCTATTCTTATTTTTGTTCCTTTAGTATTAACGTTGCACATCTGAGGATTAGATGACCATGACTGTGAGACTGATCCTGCAAACCCTTTCTTACATGAGCAATCCTAGGTTGGAGCAATATAGTACGGTGTGTGGAGGCAGGGGGAAGCATTTTAAATTTCTTCTCATCAGTTGTGCTGGTTTCCTTTTACTTCCTCCTGGTAGAGAAAACAGGTTGTTCTGTGGTTTATAACCTTCACCAACATAAAGGAGCTAATTAACCATGTATTTTTTCAGAATAGAACACCATATTTATTCATATACCATATTCAGCTTCCCCCCACCTCCTTCAAATTTAGTGATGGAAAATTTGGAGATGTGTCTTAATTTAGGAAAATGATTTCCACAGGGTCTGAAATGGATGGGCACGCTCTGTATAGAGCTGGGACAGGATTTCTCTCCTCAACCTTCCCCTGCTGCAGGCCCAACAGTTACTGATTTAACTCTCTCAACTGCTACTGAATTAAGGCTTAGTAGTTTTAGTCTGCATACAATTAGGTTGCAGCAGTAAGAAAAGTTAATGCTATAGCTTTTGCAGTAGCATCCATGCATGGGGGAGAGGAATTGAGACTCATGAGAGGGTCCCACCCCCCTCCCCCACTCCACACTGCCAGACCCACAGCAGCAAGTAAAATTGTGCCTGCTTCCCCATCTTCCCCCCTCCCCAAGGAAAATCTTTTTTAAAATTAATTCTAACTTCCTAAAACAATGTGGATGTCTTATCTGGGGGCATGTGATGTGGCAGAATGCCACCTCTTTTTCTCCCCAAAAACTCTGTTCTGTGACAATTTGGTTAACATGGGCCCTGCAGAGGGCAGACATCCCATCTCTTTAGGTAACCTGAGTTGGATACATTCCTGAGGGAGGGGCGAAACCTTCTCCCTCTGCCTACATGACTGGCATCACATATCTGGCAATGCCAACCTGACTGGGAGGGGGCTAGAGACCCTACCAGTCTGCCTGGCAACCAGTGATGCATTTCAACTTGGTTGGCTGGCAGCCAACAGGTGCTGGCCTCCGTTGAACCAGATAAATGAGGTCATAAGGGCTATATAAGTTAAGGACTGCCCAAGAAGAGGGGCAGTAGCCATGATGAAAACTCAGAAAGAGAAGAGCTGGACCATCTGAAACTTTCTCTCTTGAAACTCATGAGCAAGGAACTGCCGGCCGCAAGAGGAACCCCCCCCCTGCCTCTGGAGGATATTCATGAGTAAGCTACCTGAGATCTAACTAGATATATAGCTTGCAGTAACTCAGATGTGTGATCAAAGGCTACCCAGACACCCTGTTTGCTATATGGGATTTCTTTGATATTGCTCTACCCCAGGGGCGGGCAATTATTTTGGGCAGAGGAACACTTACTGAGTTTTGGCAAGCTATCAAGGGCTGCGTGACAGGCAGCCCAGGGCAGATAAATATTGCTTTTCTAAATTTTTAGGGGTCCTGCACGCCAAATAGAATGGCCTGCCAGGCCACATTCAGCCCCCGGGCAGCATTTTGCCCACCCCTGCTCTACCCTGTACCCTATTCCAAACCTACTCCTTGTAGCCAATAAAGTTCTCCTTTGTATCTAGCATGGGAGACTTTTTGGGAGAGGGGCTAGATTATACCTTGGGGTCCCCTTGGTTTGGCTGGCTAAGGGAGACCACTATTTGTGCTTCAGTCTGAGGGAAGCACCCCAAGTTCTTGGAGTGGGTTGAGTACCCTTAAGGACTACTAGGCCTACAGGGGACACAGAGCCAGGATCAGGCCAGACCCTGGGTGGTGGCGGTGTTATCCCCAGGCTAGCGCGTGTGCTCCAGGAAGGGGGTTGGCCAGACGTGCGGCACCCCCAGGGAGGCACTTGGAGCCTGGAAGGTGGTTGGACACAGCGAGGTGGGTGGCTCAGCACAGGAGCACCCCCTACTGGCCCACCACATGTGGTTTGCAAATAAATATGGTATTAAATAATGATGATTTTACAATATAATCCTAACTGGTTTCGGTCTCTTCTCCCCTGCCTAAGCTATGCTGAGCCATGGATCTGGTGCAGCACTGTAGTGTAACCAAGCTCACTGAAATCCAGAAGACTACCTGGATGGGTAAGGAAAGTTGATATCAAGATTACCATGACTGGACAAAGAGCCTTTAGGTAGGCACTGATCCCTCAAAGGCTTGAGTATGTGCTTAATATTACTTGCTGTGAGTAATCCCATTTACCACATAAAGCTAATATGATGAATAACTCTTGTTGAGATCGAGACAGTGGAAGGAGAAACTCCAATGGTTTCATTGTGACTCTCTCCGTTGCATTTCAGTGAGGATAAGGTAGAATCTTTAGCTTTCCCCTCCAAATGTCTCTTAACAATTCCTTTCCAATGTTTGCATTTATGACATTAGGTTTCTTTGGGCTGCTGTTTGCATTTGGCACTCACTGGACATGTCTACAAATGCAATGAATGCAACTGAATAAAATCTGGTGTAATTTGAGCTGGAGTAAGATAATCTGGAAGTTATCCTCTACACATGCATTTAAGCGCAGTAATTTACTTCACTGTCAGATAGCACTTGTGTCTGACAGGACTACCTGACAGCTCAGTAAATTAGTCTATACTGACCTAATTGCCACACGTGTAGACAGTGATGCTTTACTATGCAGCAAATTAGTCTACTCCACAGTAAAGTACATGTGTAGGTGTGCCCAGTATAACTCTCTGCTATTAATATGAAAAGTCATTTTACATAGCATCAGAGAAATCTACATTTAATCACACAAAAAACCTACTAGATCATATCTTCATATTTTTTTATTAGAAGTTAATTCTTTTAATAATAATAATAATAATTTAGGTAGGTCAATTATTTGAAATGTTTTATTAAAATTAATGTTCCAAGAACATTTGGTAAAGATTAATTTTAACTGGTTTTCTGCAGAAGTGAACGTCAGGTAGTAATGAAGCATCGAAAGGGTCCCCTCTCTTCTCTGTACAAGAGCACTAATGAGAATTCTGTGCCCATCTTGAAAGAGAAACTGATTTTTACAGAAAGAAATTCATTCCAGACAACCCATTCTGATTCTGTAAATCTTTGTGATAATTACAAATGTGATACTTACAGAAAATATTGCCAGCAACCAGTGCCCAGAGATCTGCATCATTATTGCAATTTTTTCAGTTCTCAATTAATGAACAAGTTTACACTTCTGAGAAAATTATACCTGAGCCATATGGCACAATCATTTAAATCAGCTACCCTTAGCAAGCACAGTACAATGCATGGCTTCACTTCAAGACAGATTAGACTAAACACCACATGGAAAACAAACCACTCCCCAACTCTGAAATGGAGGTGTCAGTCAGAACTGGTTCTTCAAATAGGTTTCCAGAAGTTGTTGAGTTGTCCCTCCTAAGAGAATTAGACAAGTATGACTGTGGACAAAACAAAATGTCTGAAAGTGGTTTTGTTAAAAAAAATAGGACATATGTATATTTCTTAAGAATGTTTTCCAGGCAAATAGGTCTTTCAGGTTTATGTAAAATTACTCTTGGAAAAATACGGGGTTTTTAAAGATTATTTTAAAGTTACGGGGTGGGGGGCGGAATTTAAGTCCTCTTGGTGCATTTGGAAATTAATTTCCAATTTAAAAAGCTAGTTTCATACACATAACAGAAGGGAGCTTTGTCCTGTACTCCTTACTCAGGTGTTTCACAAAAATGAAGTCTCAAGGATTAGGTCCACAATGATTATTGTTGTTCTTTCTATACGGGAAGTTAGCTTGGGTCACCTACTTTTTGCAGACCTTAACTTGTTCATTTTGGGGTCGTGAGGGGGGATGTTCATTCTGAGGCATAGGCTGCACTCTATTTCTGCAGTAAGCCACGTGTGGAGATGGGCAGATGGGATAAGTATGCTTACTGTCCACTTAGCAGCTGAATGAATAGTCCATTAAAAAGCCCAAGGCTTTACTAGATTTTCTGCAGGTCTCTTTTGTGCCACCTTTAAAGATAAGTGCAAGGGAGAGGGCCTGTGAAAAATCTTATTAGAATTTTTACTTTAAAAGGTGAATTGCCAGATTGCATAGCAGGATACATTCAGCCCCAACGCCTGTGTGAAGGCCCAGCGGCTATAAAAGGGAAGCCACAGCCTCCTGTAATTTTATAACTACTGTGGATCTGAACCTTGTTTCTCAATGTACACTCTGTATTGTAGTGTACAAAGAGGTACTGGGCCCTCAAGAGACTAAAACCCAACTGCAGGTGGTCAGTGGATAATAGTCTGTCTGCTTACAGGAGTCCTGCAGTCTGAAAGGTCGCAGACTGCATAAGACACAGATGGGCAAACTCCATGAAGCCCATCCAATCTTCCCCTAAAAATTATCAGGGGGGAACCCTGACTTCTGTGGGTTTTTCCACAGAATGGATTAGTCTGGCCCAAACTAATTATCATCAGACCAGTCAGGGTGATTTTTTTATTGCAAGGTGTTATTACACTGCAGTTAAAGTACATGAAATTTACCATGCAGTATCACTATCACTCGTACATAAGTAAAGGCAGCCTATAAAACAACAAACCATACAAAGAACAATTTTTCCTACTATTTGGTTGGTCTAATAAAAGATATCACATTTACCCAAAGAATCTTGTCTGCCTATGTCCTTAGACCAACACGGCTACAACCAACAACCCTAAAACAATCCATTAAAACACTCCTGTTTTTAACTGGGCATTTAGGAGATGTATTGCAATCTGTTAATATTATAAGCATCTCAAAGATCCATTGGCACTTCCAAGTATATGTTACTGTCACAGCATGTAATTCTACGAGCCAAAAAACCTTCTTTAGAGAAACTTTCAGTTCAGAAAAGGAAGCATTATCAGTTCTGTGAAACTTCTTGCTGAGAGAATCACCCTCTAACCACATACAATCTCAGAGATTGACTTGCATTGCAAAGGAAATGAATAAGTAAGTGTGGCAAACTGGGGCTCCCCACCTAGCCACAGTGCTAGGTTCCTCACTTGCCTTTGGGCACACCACCCACCTGACTCACCTGCCATGCCTTGTTCTTAATTAATTAAGATGTTAATTAAGGTGGGAGGCTGCCCATTCATGCCCTGATGCCAGGGGGGGCACTATCTGCAGCTCTGGACCTCCCCTACACTACAGCCCATGCCTCGCAGATGGCATCCAGCTGTTAATCTCCCCAGCCCCCGCCCGCCCCCCTCGGCTCCAGAATCCTCCAGTCTGGACCCCTCTAAGATCCCGCCATTCAAGCGGCCTACCCCACCTTCATTCGGGCTGTCTAGCTCCCTGAAACCATTTCCTCTCTCGGGCATGGTCCCCCTGGGACCTTTGGCCACACAGACCCTGGCCGCACCTCCAAGGCCAGTCGGAACCCCAGGCCCTCAGCTCTGGGTGTCCCTCACATTGGGCCCCTGGCCCTTTTAACCATTCTGGTCCTGGCCCCAGCATTGACCAGTCGAGGGTACTCTACGTCAGGTCTCTGCCACTCCAGCCCCACTCTTGCTCCCGGGGTCCGTCTTCTGGCCCTAATAGCAGGTGACCCACCCGGTTGTAGGAGCTGGGGTGACTCACACCACGACTGGTGTTCCAGGGTCACACAGGGACTTTCATTCCCCCCTGGAGCAGCAGGTCATTGTGCTCTCACTATATAAACATATTGGGCTCTCAGCCCTCTGGTTTTCCTCCCCCTTCACTGGGGTTCCTCATCTCTGTCCCCTCACTTGGGGCTCCACACTGCCCCCCTCACTTGGGGCCACGGGGCTTCACTCCCTGGTGGGCTCAGCTGGCCATAGCTGTACCTGGCCCCAACTACTTTTCCTCAGAGTCTTATACCTCACATAGGCCTCAGGTGGCCGCAGCCATGCCTGGCCCCCAACTCTGCCTTCTCAGGGTCTCTCAGGGTCTTGCACCCCACAGGGCTCAGGTGGCAGCAGCCATGCCTGGCCCCCAACTACCTCTGGTGTTACGCAAACCCACTCAAAGGTGAGGGCTGGGTTAAGGCACTCTTACCCACCTTTCACCAGGGTGATAACTGGCCTGGCATTTCCTGGGGGCTCCTGCGCCACTGAGAGCCCCACCAGGCCACCCATTCTTGGCAGGGTGCAGTTTTAGGTCATGCCCAGGACTAGGAGCCTCCTAACCATCCCCTAGAGCTCCTCCCTTACCTCTAGGGTGTTATGGAGCCTCACAGCCAGGCAATGTTGCTGCCTAGGCTGCCAGCAGTGAACTGCCCTGTTTATCTAAAATGGCTGCCACAATTAAGCACCTGCTGGCTGCTTGGCCCCCAGTCTTAAAGTGGCAGGCACCAACAGTGTCCTGCCACATACCTTCCCCCTTAAAATGATACTTGGGGGAGGTTTCCCTTGCTGCTCCCCCAAAACAGGCTCTTCTCGGAGCCTGTGAGAGCCCTTAAGTGGTGAGCACCCCCAAAGGTGCTCTGCCACACACCTCCCCCACCTTAGAATGAGATCTGGAGCTTTGCTTGGCTGCCTTCCCTGCTGGGCTCTGCCCCAGCCTACTGCAGCCCCTGCCATGTAGTGAGCACCCCAAAGGTGCTCCGCCACAGTAAGCTACAAGTTAGTTTGGGTGGTGGTGAACATGAGAGGGCCGTGTGCCCCTGGATTGGATGGGCACAGTGAAGTATGCTGATTCACATCTTATGCAGCAGGGAGGGATCTGGTTGGGAGAAAACCACCCTCATAATGCACAGCCCCCAGTGCCATCCAAATTGGACCTACAGAACAGGTACAGAAGAAGTAATGGCAAGGCAGTCCCCATGTTGTGACTGAACTTGGACCTTGAGGGATCACTTGTAGGTTTTTACAGAGCTGTTCAATTTTCAGGTCCATTTAGTCTTTGGCCTCTCTGCTGAGACTGTAAGAAAGCCAGTTATAATCATCTATGGAAATTAATTTTTTAATTATGCTTGGCATTTCGGAGATAGCAAAGGACAACAACAATCTTTTCCAAAAGTGACATCCGTTCTGACCTTAGCTGAATAAAGGAGAATCTACAAAAATATTTTAAAAGTGGCCACATGCCCTGAGAAGCCGGCAGTGCAAGGCTGGGGAACAGATACATGGCTAGAACCTACATTCTGTTGTAACCAGATAGGTCAGAACATGTTAATGCAATTTAAAAAGAAGGAAAGCTTAATATTGTTTGCCATTACTTGTGTTCACCCAACTTTTATCAATAGGGATTGCTGTTCACGTGGATGGTATTCATGAAACAATGAGAAACAATGAGAAGTGCTATCATTTGCACTTGCATCACCTCAGATGTATTCATAAACAAGGCAAACTTTTCTCATATTAACTCCCCCACCCCTCACAAATTGTTCTTGCTGCTGCAGAAAGAAGACAGGACAAGTGGCACACTTCCTGTTGAGTCAGTACAAAACTTATATCCTAATGCCATGCTGTGGATTCTGTGCTCCATAAGAGTACAGCTTTCAAAGAAAACATGAAACAAGGGTTCTGCCCCCTTGTGGCCACCAAAAGCCACTTGGCTCCTTCTAGAAGGATGTGACATGATGTCAAATCCCTTTTGAATTACAGTTAATTGGAGCTATCAAAAATAGTAAAACACTCAAGTATTCAAAGAACAAATCTATCAATCCAGGTTTATTACGTGGTCAGCTGCAGACTAAGATTGAGTAAAACGCTCCCTGAGCCTGTGGTATACCCATGCCAACAGGCTGAAGATACGTCCATGATGTAAGCAGAGATTTCTCTCTCTAGTCTATGTACTAACACTTCCCATGCAAAAGCATTTATAAAATAGCATAGCTTCTCTCTCCCATCTTTTCTCCAGCCACTCAGCTTTGGACAAGCTGGCCATCTTATGCCAATTTCTCTGCCAAATTCAGCTGTTCAACCCAACCCCCAATTAGTCAAAGGCTCTGCTACTTTCTGTTGTACTACAACTTTGCTTTCTTAAATTCCCCCCGAAACTTCCACTCAGCATAGTAGTGTTCCTTGCTTTTCCTCCTAAGTTATGCAACAGTATTACTAGACAGTGTTAAACAGCCACCCAAGAAGTGGGTCTATTTCATTGGGCTCATGGCCTTAATAATTCTGTGCTCATATGTTGAAGCACAGTCTACCCTCAACTGTTCTTAAATTCAATGGGAGCTACAAACACACATCTCCACATTTTTAAAGTAGGAGAGGATGAAAGGCAATACACAGACTATTTTTGTAGTTTCAAGGGATATAGCCCTGACCTGAAGAAGGGCCCTTTGTGCACAAATGCATGTCTAACATCTCTTCCAACCATACCTTTGGTCCAATAAAAGATAACATTTAAAAAAATCCTTGCCTCTCCAGACTTTTTTTGGAACAGCCAATTACCATCTGGTCTCAATCTGAATTTTCCTGTGACAGCTTATTAAAACAACCTTTT